GAAGGCAACTTGCAGTTTCACAGAGAAAGGCCTCCTTTGAATGATCAAGAAAGATTTCATGGACAGTATAGGGGCAGATTCCTGTAATGTTTGCAAGAAGGAGCTCTGCCTGCATTTGAATCCTGGCTTTACCACTTAATAGCAGTGGGACCTTGGGCTGGTTACTTAACCTCTCTGAATTTCTGTCTTCTCATCTATAGGGATAATAACAGGACTTGCCTCATAGGGTAACGAAGACGATTCAATGACATAATATACGAAAACCCTTCACACAGAGCCTGGTGCTCTCTCAAGTAGATGGTGGCAATGATGTTGTTAGAACAGGATATCAGGTGGCCTTAACTGGGTGGTATTTGCACAGTTGGAGAGAGGAGAGAGGGAAGTTAAAGTGGGTGGACCAGCCTCAGGAAAAGAATGGAGGTGACAGTGAATATGGATATGCTGGAGGCGTGCATGAGCTTGGCTGCACTGGAGGAGTCGTGAGATGCAAGGGTGGTTGAACAGGGCCTCTCGACTTGGGCAGATTAAAAACAGGCTGGTCATCTGGAGCCACTGCAGGACAAGGGACAGAGGGAGAGGAGTATCATTTTAGGAAGACCTGTCTGGCAATGGTGGCAGACGAGATGCAAGGGCAGAGGCCCCGGGGAGTGAGAAGATCAACTAAGAGGGTTATGGAATTATCCCATTATGAGGTCGCAGGGCTGGGGTCTAAGGCAGTGGCAGTGGGATTGGAGGAAGGAATGGGCTAATCAGGTGTCTTGGAGGGAAAATCCTACAGTAGTTGATTACATCTTGGAAGGAAAGAACATCTTTCAAGTGCTGGCAGTGAGATATATAGGAACTAACCTGTTATTAGACTGAGGACTCAGCAATTTTAAAGCATCAACATCAATACTGCCCACTCTCACTTTCAATAGGGTTTGAAGAGGTACAGGGACTGTGGGTACTGGGAGAAGTAATAATAATGATCCCTTGTATATGTGGAGCTCTTGCCAATTTCTACTCGTCCTGTATGTTTTCTAATTTACTCCTTATAAGAAAGGACAAAGAACAGGTATCATCATGCCCCTTTGCAAATGGAAGAAACAAAGGTTATGGACTTACCCCAGGTACACAGCGCAGCCAGTTAAAGACTGAGCCAGGACGGAGGAGTCCAGGCTGCTCCCACTGGGCTAAGGTTCACAGGGGCACAAACAACAACTGCATTACAAGATGGTAACAAGAATGTCTGTAAAATCCAATTGGAAAATGACTACAATGCATGATACTAATTACTCTGCTCATTTTAAATTCCCAAATAGATAAGTCATTCATTCATCTATACGTCCATCCAACCATCTATCCATCCATCCATCCATTTATCCATTCAATCCATATTTGCTGGTGGCCTCTTCTATGCCAGGTATTGTGCTGAGCTCCTGAGAGGACAGTAGTACCTTGAGTAAGGTATATACAGACCCTGTCCTCAGGTGATTTAAGACCTACTGGGAATAGTCTCTGTTTCCAGTTATGCAAAACATGGAGCCCACAAGGTGATGTCGTCCCTCCCCGTCCTTCAGAAACAGATTTCAGGATAGATTGCTGACCCAGTGCCCTCTTAGCTAAATGTTGTCAAGAAATTAATTTAGTTGTTTGCTACAGATGTGTTTTTGCAGGCCTTTGAGAAGATGAGTATTAACAGGATCAAAGTAAGTTTTATGGGCTAAACTGGGTACAATTACTAATATTTCCTTCTGTCTTCCTGTGAGTGCCAGGGCCCACAGAGACCCTGGGTGTCCTGTTCACCACTGAGTGCTGAATGTCCAGCGACCATCACGTTACCCAATACTTAGAAGCCTCTCATTCAGTCAGTAGTAGCCACGTGGATGGCTGTCAATCCACAGTCACTGAGGTGCAAGTGATTTTACTGCTGCCCAAACAGGTTCATTTGCCTGCCGCTCAGGAAGAAGCCAATGCACTTGAGAGAACAGGGTTTGCAGCAGAGAAAGAGTTTAATTTGTCATAGCAGGGGGACAGGAGAAATTTCTCAAATTTACCTCCCCGAAAATTCGGGAGATGGGTTTTTAAAGAGAGTTTGGCGTAGGCAATTGGGTCTGCTAGGTGGCTGGGTTTGGAGAAGAACCATAGGGTTGTAGAAATTGTTCTTCTTTGCTGACCAGGTTCTTGGGTGGGGGTCACAAGACCAGTTGAGTCAATTCCTTGATACGGGCCTCTGGTCTGGGCGAGTCAGCCGTTCCACTGGAATTCGGGACCTGGAAGATAGCTCAGAAACTGCCCCTAGATTTCAAAAAGGTGCTATTATCTATGGAGACAGCTAAGAATCTTTATGGCCACCAGCTTTGTGGCTCCAGAGTGGCAATGACAGAGAAGCAAATGGGGACAGTGGCTAATTATTATTATTATTTTTAGCTAAGTCTGTGCCTTGTTTTTAGCTAGGCCCTTACCACAGTTCTCACCTTGCACCCCTTTATCGATTTGTAAAGTCGGTTTCAATTTCATGATGTTCTGTAAACCTTCAAAATCATTAAACTAAAAAATAGATAAAGCTAGTGGGAGTCTCAGTTGGTCTGAACCACCTGCCCATTTGGTTTAGAAGGTTTGTTCCAATGCTGCAGTGAGATTAGCATTCTTGCTTTCCTGATTTGAGGAAAAAATACAAGATTTTCAGATCAGATACAAAGTAGGAGGAATAGGTACCATTATTGGGAACCAGCAGTGCACTGACAACGTTGCGATGGGTCCAGGCTGGACTGGGTGCTTTATGTATGGCTCATCTTGATTCTTAGATGCCAGCACTGGTGAGGCTCCCGTCAGAGTCAGTCACACCCTTCAGAAACAATGAAGACAAGGCCATGTTAAATATACTGGTCCCTTTAAAAAGCTTTTTAATTTCATGCAGAGAACAAGGTCTTCTGAGACACTGCTGAGTGTTGCAATCCTTTTTGGTAAAGCAATCAGATAACACCCATTAAAATGTAAAATATTCCTGTTCTTTGACCCAGCAATCCCACTCTTGGGACTTTATCCAGCAGAAATAAAAAACATGAGCATGCAAAGACCCGTGTACAAACAACAACAAAAACTGGACACAAAGTGAAGACCCATCAGGAGAAGAATGGTTGAATTAGTTAGTGTACATCCACTGGGAAAGGTTATACAGCTGTTAAATAGGAACACAATTAGAGCAGTAATAGTTGTCTTAGGGTGTCATTGAGGGAGGAAAATATGTATTAATAACAGCATCTCTGTTTTGGAAGACAAAATTCTTGCACTCTGTCTCTGTGTCTCTGTCACTGTCTTGGGGTCTCTCTGTCTCTCATTCTCTATATCTTTCTATTTATAAAATAGATACAGGTACATATCATGTATGTGTGTGTGTGTGTGTGTGTGTGTGTGTGTGTGTGATTTTATTAATATGGGGAAAAACAAGGAAGACCGAGTGACAAGTTACTGCCATGGGAAACCTGGAGGAAGAGGCAGGGCTTGGGGCTGATGTGAGGGGCACACAAAGCAAGTGCAACGCAGAGCCCAGCAAAACAAAACCCCAAACCCAGAACAAAACCCCAAACCCAAAAGACTTCACCAGAAAAAAAAGTCACTTCTTATCACCACGCTTATACATTTGTCCTAAATTATGTATTTGCGAGATGGGGTAAGGGACAGCCTCGCTTTAGAAATGGGAAATTGTGGGAGAAAATGTGGGTCTCAGAAGTGTGGATGTGCACTTTTATCTGATTTAATCCTCACCACCACAACTCTCCAGGATAATGTTACTCTTTTAAAATATCTATATGGAAATCAAGGAACACAGAGATGAAAATCCTGCCCCATGAATCAGCAGAGAAGGGATTTGAACACAAGACTGGTTAAGAAGCCCATCCTGGCCAGGTCGGTGGCTCACGCCTGTAATCCTAGCTCTCTGGGAGGCTGAGGCGGGTGGATTGCTCAAGGTCAGGAGTTCGAAACCAGCCTGAGCAAGAGTGAGACCCTCTCTACTAAATAGAAAGAAATTAATTGGCCAACTAATATATATAGAAAAAATTAGCCAGGCATGGTGGCGCATGCCTGTAGTCCCAGCCACTTGGGAGGGTGAGGCAGAAGGATTGCCTGAGCCCAGGATTTGAGGTTGCGTGAGCTAGGCTGACGCCATGGCACTCATCTACGCCTGGCAACAAAGTGAGATCCTGTCTCAAAAAAAAAAAAAGAAGCCCATCCTGCTGTGCGTGGGGGGTGGGGGGCGCAGGGACTACATAGGAATCTCTGTACCTTTCTCTGTTTTGCCATGATTCTAACACTGTTCTAAATAAATAGTCTTTTTATTAAAAAGCTCATACTTTTTTTTCCTTTTTGGAGACAGAGTCTCACTCTGTTGCCCAGGCTAGAGTGCCATGGCGTCAGCCTAGCTTACAGCAACCTCCAATTCCTGGGCTCAAATAATCCTTCTGTCTCAGCCTGCCGAGTAGCTGGGACTACAGGCATGCGCCACCAAGCCTGGCTAATTATTTTTCAATATATTTTTAGTTGTCCAATTAATTTCTTTCTATTTTTTAGTAGAGATGGGGTCTCGCTCTTGCTCAGGCTCAGGCTGGTTTCAAACTCCTGACCTCGAGCGATTTGCCTGCCTTGGCCTCCCAATGTGCTAGGATTACAGGTGTGAGCTACCGTGCCTGGCCAAAAAGCTTATACTTTTTTTCCTACGGTTATTTGTTAACTTCCAACCATCTTGAATTCCACTGGTATTCTGTATTTTTATTTATTTATTTTTCATTTTTTATATTTTTGAGGTAGGGTCTTGCTCTGGTGTCTCAGGTAGAGTGCAGTGGCCTCATTGTAGCTCACAGCAACCTCAAGCTCCTGGGCTCCAGCGATTCTCCTGCCTCAGCCTCTCAAGTAGCTGGAACTACAGGCACACTCCACGACACCCGGCTAATTTTTCTATTTTTAGTAGAGACAGGGGCTCGCTCTTGCTCTGGCTGGTCTTGAACTCCTGACCTCAAGCCTCCCAGAGTGCTGAGATTACAGGTGTGAGCCATCTGCCTGGCCAGTATTCTGTATTTTTAAAGGGAAAGGCATCTGAAATAGTTTGTGGAACCCTATTTTTGGTTATTTTAAAAAACACCCGGGTGGTCACAGCTCTGACCGTTCTCATTTAACCTGCTTTCTTTGTGGGTCTCACTTGCCAACTTTCTCCCTCAGATCCTCAGGGCTGTGGAAGGAAATTGCTCACTCTCCATAATCTGGGTCTTGGAGATAAATGTAGGAAATAGGCAAAAATGAGCAGAGGAAGGAACAACCCAGTTTGTCTTTAAGTCATGCTTTGCTTCCTGTGATTCTAATCCTGTGTCTTGGTCCATGCCGGCTGCTCATGGTTCTGGAGGCTGGGAAGTCCAAGATCAAAGGATGGGCAGGTTCCATGTCTGGGTTGGGCTCGCTTCCTGGTTCACAGGTGGCTGCCTTCTCTCTGCGTCTCCACACGGCCCCAGGGATGAACGAGCTCTCTGGAGTCCTCTCTATTAGGACACTCATCCCATGCATGGAGGCTTCACCCTTAGGACCGAATCGCTTTCCCAAAGCCTCACCTTCTATTACTGTCACCTTGAGGGTAAGATTTGCAACATATGCATTTTTTTTTTTTTTTTAGGATATCTTCAGTCAACATATAAATTTTGAGGGGACATAAATATACAGCCTATAGGATGCTGCTGAGTACAGGAAGGAATGAATACAGCCGAGAGCTGAAGATTGGTCCAGGCCTTACTCCAGGGGAAAATGCTTTTAGCTGGTGGGTTTTTTTTTGTTTTGTTTTTTGAGACAGAGTCTCGCTTTGTTGCTAGAGTGAGTGCCGTGGCATCAGCCTAGCTCTCAGCAACCTCAAACTCCTGGGCTCAAGCAATCCTGCTGCCTCAGCCTCCCGAGTAGCTGGGACTACAGGCATGCGCCACCATGCCCGGCTAATTTTTTCTATATATATTAGTTGGCCAATTCATTTCTTTCTATCTATAGTAGAGACAGGGTCTTGCTTTTACTCAGGCTGGTTTCAAACTCCTGACCTCGAGCAGTCCGCCCGCCTCGGCCTCCCAGAGTGCTAGGATTACAGGCGTGAGGCTAGCGGGTGGCTTTTAAAAGTTGCTATCATTTTGTCAAGGAACAAAAGTGCTTAAATTATTTCCATTTTGGATCCATTTGTTTCTTCCCACACCCGGCACATCAGGGTAAGACCGCGTCACCCACTCCGTGTTGGCAGTGCCGCCTTTGGCGCTGGAGACCTGCCTGCTGTCCACCGCTGCAGGATTCATCCGTCTTCATCCTGTTTATACAGACACAGCGAAAGCGTCCCCGGAGCATGTCCTGGTGGTTAAAACCAGCGCAAACGGCAGCCTGAAGAGTGGCCCGGCTGGGCCCAGGAGTCTGGGCTGGCTTCCAGAAGCTGAGAGGTCCATATTCCTAGGGATTGGTTCTGCCTTATAGCAGGGTTTTGTTTTGTTTTTATTTCTCAAATGCTTATTCAAAGCCAGGACTAGGTTAGATAGAGATTTTTTTTTTTTTTTTTTGAAAACGGATCTCACTCTGTCGCCCAGGCTGGAGTACACTGGTGCATTTATAGCTCACAGCAGCTTCAGAGTCCTGGGCTCAAGCCACCCCTTTCCTCAGCCTCCTGAGTAGAGATTTTTTCTTTTTTTATTAAAGTGCAATTCCCATAACTTAAAATTGACCATTAACTAGATACCATTACTGGCATTTAGTTCATTCATGATGTTGTGGAACTATTATGTCTGTTTGGTTTCAAGACATTTCTTTACCCCAGAAGGAAACCCTGTACGATCTCTCCCCATGAGCCCACAGGGGAGGAAAAGATTTCTTTTCTTTCCCCATCGCTAGGTTCATTGCGGATACCCTTGTAACGATAGATAGATTAATAAGAGAAAAGCACGATAAGTTCATTCAATATAAGTTTTACATGGCATGGGAGCCTTCAGAAATGAAGACCTGCAGAAACATGGAAACCTCCGTATTTTTATGACAGCCACGCAGAAGTATGACTTGGGGACAGAAGGGTATGATATAAAGATGAAAAGCCAAGGGGAACTTAACAAGGCCTATTTGTTCAGATCCTTCTTGGTGTTCCTGTGTGACATTACTTCCCTTTAGGTGCAGGGCAGGATAGAGGCAGAGATAGGGAGAACTGAAGTGGTCTTCTTATATTTTTAAATGCCAAGGTGCCATATTTTAGGGTAGCGTGTCCTACACCTGTGATGCCCCTTCCCCAAGTCCTTGGCCACCACTGCTTTCTATCTCTCTGAATTTACCTATTCAAGATGCTTTATATAAAGGGAATTCATATACTGTGTGACCTTTTGTGGCTGGCTTCTTTCACTTAGTGTGTTTTCAGGGTTCATCTATGCTGTAGCATGTGTCAATCCTTTGTTCCTTTTATGGCTAAATTATATTCCATTTATGGGTGTTCCACATTGTGTTTATCTACTCATTAATTGATGGACATTTAGGTTGTGTCAATTTTGGCTATTGTGAATAATGCTGGGATGAACTTTTATCAACAAGTATTTGACCTTTTGTTTTTAATTCTTTCGGATGGAATCACTGGACCATAGGGCAATTCTGTGTTTGATTTTTTTGAGGAAGATACAGAAATTTTTGACTTCCACATTTTGTGGCAATTTTCCGCTTCCCTGACTCTTTTCTTTATTCTGTCTTCCATGGAAATTTATACTTTTTAGTAGATAGAGAGTTTTGAAAGGTGCTACCTTGTGATCATTAAATGCATGAATTCTTAACTAGGGGGTCAGGCTGCTTGGGTTCAGAGTCCACCTTTTCCACCTACTAACTGGTTGATTGTAGGCAAGTTGTGTAACCTCTCTGTGCCTTCATTTACTCTTCCATATTGAGAATGATAATTTCCATCTCACAGGGTTGTGTTGAGGAGTGTGACCAGGGATGTATACATAGTGCTTAGCGTGGTGCCTAGCATGTAGTAAATACATACAAATATGTTACCAATGGCAATTACTGTAAATAGCTGTATTAGTTTGCTTGGGCTGCCCTAACAAAATACCATAGATCGGGTGGCTTAAGCAATAGAAATTTATTACTCACAGCTCTGGAGGCTGAGAAGCCTAGGATTAAGGTGCTTCCGGTGAAGTAGGTTTTATGTTGAGCCCTTTTTTTTTTTTGCTTGGAGGAGGCTGCCGACTTGCTGTGTGCTCACACGACCTCTTTTTTGTGCACATGTGGAGGGGGATGAGAGAGAGAGAGTGAATGCTCTGATGTCTCTTCATATAATGGCACTAATCCTATCAGATCAAGGCCCCACCCTTAAGACCTCATTTAACCTTAATTTTCTCCTCCTTATCTACCCTATCTTCAAATACAGTCACTTTAGGGGTTAGAGCTTCAACATATGAATTTGAGGGTGGGGGAAACAGAGTTCAGTCCCTATATATAGTCTTTTTATTTGGGACTAGAAGTTGCGTTTTAGCATCATGATGTCTTAGGGCTGGAAGGAAATTTGGAGTCCATCTAGTCCAGGGGTTCTCTGCCTCAGCATTATTGCCATTGATATTTCAGGCTAGAAAATACTTTATTGTGAGGGTACATGCACTGTAGGATGTTTAGCAGCATCCCTGGCCTCTGCCTACTAGATGCCAGTAGCACATTTGCCACCCCTTGCCCAGGTGTGACAACGAAAAATGTTTCCAGACATTTCCGAATGTCCCCTAGAGAGGCAAAATTGCTGGAGTTGAGAACATTTGATCAAGTCTAATACCCTTTTTGGATCCAGATAGTAGAGTTTTATGATGTAGATACTCTTGTCCAAGCAATGTTCCTATCCCATCTCTTCATCTTGGTTCCTAGGTTCCTGCTCTCTTTTTTTGCAGATGTCTTACAGTTTTCTGTTCACACACAACCCCATGCCTAAATACAGTTCCCCAATTTTATTGCACTGGCAATAAAAACTGTGTCGGATGTGCTTGAGATGAAGCCAAGGGAAACACGATTATGAGCTTCCCAAAGCATTAAAGAAACCTCCCCCATGCAAAATGGATTTCATTTTCCTCAAGGCATTCCTGTCCTGGAAAGATGCCTACTCACTGCCAATTGAAGTGAATGAGAAAGTGTCACTTTCACTTACAACGAGGAAAATGCTTCAGGTGGTTGACTAGAAATACCCTCCAAAGAACAGCCCTTCCCTCTGCTACCAAAATGAGGAGGGGTTTGTGTCAGCCCAGAGAACATTGACTGTAAGGTTTTCCTGGAACATTATCTGTTTCCAGGGACCGATGGTTTCCCCTTTATTATCATGTCAAAGAGTACACAGAAAATAATGAAAGGGCCCAGCAGAGTAAAGCAGACCAGGTGACAAATGACATTTCAATTTTCTGAAAACTGAAGTTAGCACTTCTTTTGATGGGACTGAGGGGAAAAAAGAAGGCATAGTTCTGCGTCGAATGTTCTTAGATGAATTTCTTAGTATAGAGGTGTACTAAGACATCAGGCGTTCCTGATGATGCAGGTGTCTCTTATTGTCTAAGGAGGACACTGTGTGTACAGTCTGTGTTCATGTTCAATTGCTTCTCCTGCGTCTCTAGGGCATAGAATGGAAATTGTTAATGCTGGGGATAGTCTAGTCCTGTGTGATTCCCAACTCTGCACATGAGAATCCCCCGAGTAGCTTTTAATATAATTAGCCCATTCCTCCCCCTCCCTTTTAAATGTATTGTAGACCCCTAGCCCAGAGGGAAGATGATTTTCTCAAGTGCTAGGCAGTAGCAGAAATAGGACTCGACCCCATTTATCCTATACATTTAAAAGGAGCTAAGTAAAAAATGAAGGATTCCCTTCCTAATAAAGGACTTTCTTTACCTGACCTTGATGGCCAACATCTGAAATTTCTCAATAAACTAAATAATTAAATCCAAAATTGTAAACCTGTCATTGCCACTGGGAAAACAGTTTCAATCATGTGTCTTGTTGCCCCTAGGCCAGCCCTCCTTTTCTGAATACAAAAGATACTATTGGGCCTGGCACGGTGGCTCCCGCCTGTAATCCTAGCACTGTGGGAGGCCGAAGTGGGGAGGATTGATTGAGCTCAGGAGTTCAAGACCAGCCTGAGCAAGAGTGAGACCCTGTCTCTACTATAAATAGAAAAAAATTAGCCAAACAACTAAAAATAGAAAAAATTAGCCAGACATGGTGGCACATACCTGTAGTCCTAGCTACTTGGGAGGCTGAGGCAGGAGGATGGATTGAGCCCAGAAGTTAGAGGTTGCTGTGAGCTAGGCTGACACTATGGCACTCTAGCCCGGGCTACAGAGTGAGACTCTGTCTCAAAAAACAAACAAAACAAAACAAAAAAACAAAAGATACGATTGTTATCATTATATTTGCAACCATTATTCAGAAATTTGTCCTGGACAGATAGATGCATAACCCATATTTGACAGGCCAGCCACTCCATTAATTGAGCTCCTTTCCTGAATAAAGGAAACGTAATAAACTGTATTTAGAAATGAGAATTATCATTACCTAATGCATTTCACAAAGAAACAGCCATGTCAGTTGCAGTCAAAGTTCACCCATGGTTCTAATGGAGCAGGAGGCAGGAGACAGAGGCATATTTGAGAAAATCTGGGGAAAAAATTAATATCTTCCTGTTACTGTTAAAAGATAATTTTTAGAAAAAGGCAAAATCCTGACTCTCACAAAGATGAAAATGTGTTAAGTCAGATGAAAATGTGTTAAGGATCATATTCTACTCAATCAACA